AGCCTGAGTATGAACTTTCCAAATATGGCAAACGGTGGTAAATTCGAAAATAGAACAAGAAACAAAATGGCGGTAGCTCAGTTAACACGAAAAAGGCTAAAAAAAGCATCTTTTTGTTAACCAAAATGCCTCGTAAGGCTGGGTTAATCAAAACTTATGGCCGTCATAAGTTCAGAACGGTGAGAACAGCGCCTTGGATGTCTCCGGAGGACGTTTTTCGTTCACCAGTTTCGAAGAAAGAAAAAAGCTTTGAAACCCCAACGACTATTAATAGGTAAGACGTACTTAAGGATGTCAAGAAATTTAGTGCAAAACAATTTTATTATTACGTCTCATTAGCAGTTTAATTCTCTTAACAGTCCTAAGAGTATACTGTAGCCAATAAACAGCGCGGGAAAGCTTATTAAACAAAATGATAAAAAACGGCTAGATAAGATTATAGTAAGCTTATAAGTTAACTCTAACGAAGCGGTCTCACAGTTAAAAAAATCATTAATTTTTCAATATATTTTATTGATCATCTATGAATTAAAAAATAATAATCAAGTTTTATTCTAAGTTACAAATTGCTTGTTTTCAATCATTCTTAAGAGAATGAGATAACAAAAGACAAGGCGTCCATGTATGTTGGATGGTATAACAAGAGACTAATGGCGAATCTTTTGTTAAATTCATCCGACATTGGCGTCATTGACAAAATACTAAATTATAAGATTACTTTTTTTTCTTTCAGAAAAACTGCTTTAACGACCTTTACAAATCTTCCCAAATCACACTGGAATATTCCAAAACACAAACTCCCCTCCAATGATGACAAAGAAAATGCCCCAATAAATGAACAGAATAAAGAAGGGAAGATCATTTCAAATATTTCAACAAAGAACAATCATTCCACACCAACTATCCTGCAACAAAAGCATGCCTCAGCAGGCTTCTTTTCAAGGCTATCGACCTCCTCACCAGAGGATTTGAGTGTAGATGAAGAATCCTACGTTATTCTTCGGAAACATTCAAGCAATGCACTAGAATCTTTCATTCCAGAAACTCCTGAATTGATTACAGTCAATCAAGAAAATGGTACGAATACTCCTTCTGAAGAATGTTCCAGTTATTTTTACCAAAATTTCAATTTGTCTGGAAAGAGCTTGCCCAATTCAAGTATGAAACTAAGCAAAAGCAGTATTTTAAAGAATGAAAGTAGTGTGTCTCCACTTTATTCGTCCTTTCGGTCTGATACGTGTTTATCTTCTGCCAAAAAACCATTACAAGCATCGCAAGTAACAAATAATAGTTTTAGTAGTGATCCATCTTGTTCGACTAGTACCCCAATAATCAGAGCTAACTCGCAGAACTCTCAGCTAGTGACTCTAAGAGGCCAAAATAAGCAACGATATTCTTCCAATCCAAACAGGGATTTTTCACTCTCAGACTGTCAGGTCTTTGTGCAGCCAATGAAAATCACTCCAGATCAGTACCAAGCAGCTAGATTATCCCTTGAGCATCATGATAATACATCAACAAGCAGTTATTTTACTGTTTATTCAACCAAGGGGTCTCCTGAATCTGATCTGTCGAAAATCAGTGATGCACCAAATTTTGAAGCTGAAATTCAAGAAACTAAAAAAAATCCAAGAATTTCTTCAAGTAGTGGAAGGACAGATGTAATGGTTAGAGATTGTGTAGTTTCATTAGAAAAATTAAAACTTTCTCCTTTGATTGGACAAGAGGGAAGAAAACGATCAAGTGGGACTTTCAGTGTTAATTCATGCAACAGTAGCTATGCTAGCGCTTCATCAGATGACCTGTCAATGCCTTCAACTCCACCCAGAAAACAAGCTTCACACATGGTAAGGATCAATTAATTTTACCATATTTCTTAACTGAGTTTATATATATGTTGTTTAGTTTTAACAGGGGCTGTTGGTTCATTCACCATTTCCCATGCATCAGTTCTCTGTAAGATTCAAATTTTTAAATTAGTCCTTTGAAACTACCTTAGCTCAAGTGAATGCTTTTGTATGACCAGTGAAGCAATACATGTATGGACATTGGTGATCGGATAGAAAAAAGGTTTGGGTAAGGAAGACAAGGGAGATGGGTTTSCAATAAAATGCACTCTAGCAATTAACACAGTGGCTATGATATTACCTAAAATGTTGACCTGCAGTATTAGAATGCAGRCACGTGAAWTATTATTTTTTAAAKACAGGGCAAAATTACTTGATGGTGATTGGCTAATAAAGGAGGGCTTTTTTTCTTTGAGGGGTTTTTTTACCTTGAAGTATTATTGTTGTCCAAAGTTTTGATAGAAAAAGCACAATGTAGTGAAAAACACATTTGAACTCTGAATGAAATTATTGAAACCATAAATACGTTTTATTAGATAGTTCAGGGTGATTTACAGTGCAAGCCGGGGCTTTATATTTTTCTCTTAAAGTCAGGGGGTTTTTCATTGAATTTTGCCCAGTATATGATAGATGGGTATAATCATATGGTGATAGATGTGTTGATCATCACAGTGAATGAGCGATCTAAGCGAACACTGTAAAGAAAGACTTGAAAAAGTGATTTCAAGCTTCAACGGGAATCGAACCCATGACCTCCGCGATGCCGGTGCGATGCTCTGCCAACTGAGCTATGAAGCCAATCATGTTGGCGAGCGGTCATTTTTGTTGGGTTCTTCCTAAAATTAAGGGTTATTGTCACTAGTGTTTTCAAAGCTTTGAAATAGCCCGTTTTGTTTTGTGATGTTTTGTGATATCATTTTTACCAACAAACAAAGTATGGTTTCTTGAGAAATTAAGGATTAATTTCACCTTTTCTTAAAGCTCATGCGCGAAATGAATCCTTAATTTACCGCCCCTGTACTGTACAGAGAGATTGTCAATCTCCTATGCTAATGCCATGAGAACTATTTTAGCTTTCGCAAGTTTATCAGTTGTTTTTGTTACCCTCTTTCTAAAGAAAAGTTGTCAGTGTTTCAATAAAAAGGATAATATTAGTGTATAACAGTTCTGAATTTTCTGTCACCAACATCAATTATTTTCTTTTTTGAACACAATAAATCATGTGTTCCAGTAAAAAATCCTTGAAATTTTACTTTTTTGTGACAAATGTTGTAGCTATTACAAAAAAAAGTTTAATGAATGATTTGTTGCATGTCGCATACATGTTTCATGATGAATATTGCATACCAAGTTTGAAATGCACTATATGGGCAGGATGTAAACACCACCGCTTGTGAAAGGTCACAACAACGTGGAATTTTCCTAAACTTTGTCTAAGTCACATTTTCCCAGCATATAAATTCTTCTGTTCTGATATTATTTTACTATATTACATCTTAAGCTTGGAAAGCAATATGTAGAGCATGCAACAAAACCTTCACTAACATTTTTTTGAAATATTTAATTTTGAGTCTTTCAATTTGCAGCTGCATAAAGTTACTGCGAGAATCAGCTCAATTTGATACTTTTTTTGAAATAGCTGTATTATGATGTAGAAACAAGGCTTAAGCTACACATCCAATTAATCACTTTTGGTTTATCATTATAGAAAGCACTGACTCCTGCAAAAATAAGTCCATCTGCACGAGAACTGTCTGCCTACCAGAAACTCTTGCTGGAATGTGAACAGGATGCACCTATGAAATTTAGTGAATATCTTAAACCAAGGTACACAATGCCAACTTGACGCTGTTTCATTTCTGTATAATTATGTAGTACTTATCAAGTTAAATTCTTGAGACCAATAACAAACTTCATTTATTTATGAAGCGCTTTTTCCTTTAAGGCTGAAAATGAAAAATTGTGCCGAAAGTGATCGATATTTTAATATTAATTGAAAAAATTAATGTTGAAGTTAGGTTTACAACTTATCAGATTAATCATATTTGGCTGCTTGATTAGCAGTGCTGTGTAATACTATAATCTGCATGGTACCCTTGACATGATCAAGTACAATCAAGGTTCTAATACTTTGTCCATGGTTATATTCTTCCTTAGTTTAATGAAAAAATGTGTCAAGATTGGAGAAGGTGTCTATGGTGAGGTGTTCAAGACAATCAATAAATACAAACAGACTGTAGCTCTAAAGGTAATTGTACAGTACTAACAAGAAGGGTCAGTTACTACAATGTACTACACATATTACATACTGTATTATATTACTTATCTTATTATATGTATACATATCATAATAAATACATATCATATCATGTAATTTATGTTATGATGAGATTTGGAAAACAGTACATAATTGACCACTTGTCTACACCTTACAATACAATGCATTACATAAAAGGTTATTGCACTGCTACAGTACTGTAAAGCAGCCATATTTTTTCAAGCCCTGCATGCAGAGAAAAAAAAATACAGCTTCAAAAGTACATGTATCTGGCTATAATCACTGACATCAGCAAAGAAAACTCATTCAAAATCAGTTCACAGACTGTACGTGTATTAATGCTCTGTAATTTCACTCAAAAATGGTTGTAATAAAAAGGAAATTGAGTGTCATATGATAAAATACGATACAGTATAAAGTGATATATGTGTACATACTTTTTATGACAGTACACGAAGGAAAAAAGTTACTCAAAACTACAGTGAAAATATTATTATAAATAGATATCAAATACACACAATTTATGAGTATTTACAATTATTTAAGAAAACTCTGTGGACCTGTTCAACTTTGATTGCTATCAATAGCCAAAAACCATATTAATAGCAAAACATTGAACTTTATAGTAATTTGAATGTTTCTTGTAGATTATCCCAATAAATGGTGACTTTGAGGTAAATGGAGAGCCTCAAAAATCTTCAGAAGAAATCCTCCCTGAAATAATAATATCCAAGTAAGTTTGCATGTTGATATAATATCATATATTATATTGTATCGTTTATTATTAAAAGGGCACTTGGATGAAAATGAATAAAAATTGGAAATGACTTTAAACTT